ACACCCATTGTTTCGCCCATAACGGCTTTACCATTATCACATTATTTCTACATCATCACACAGTCCTAATAGATCTAATATTTGTGAGACGTGCGATTATCGAGTATTAATTGTAGATAATAACTACATTTTGAATATAAAAGAATTCACTCTGGCACAATGATATGAGATATCCACGTTGTTTTTTGTCCCTTGAAATATATCAATTATAATAGATGAAACTCTAAATATAAACTTGATTTAGAGATAGATGTTTTTCTGTTTCAACTGCATTCTTTGTTTTATAATGTACCATACTGTTTTAGTTCATTCAAACTCTTGCCAATATGGATGTGAATAAAAGCTACATTTATATTTGTTGAGTGACGTTGATCATCTACCAGTTTGTTGTTGTTACCTTAAATATATACCTTGTGCACATTACGTTAGTAAAATTATAGGCACATTAAACAGTCTTCTATTGTATTTAATACATGATTAATACTCTTTATGAATGAAAAAGTAATATATTTCCTTCGAATTTAGATTTATATAATTCAACCCTATAGTTCAGCAAAAAGAAATCATTGTTTTTGAAATTCTAAACTACGAATGATTTTTCTAGTGAAAACACTTACTTTTTTAACAATTCTGCAATTATGAATATTCACATTATTACAGAAAATAATTATTATGAGTAGTGTTTGACTCTATGTAATTATTCATATTATAAAATTTTGCCTATAGATAGATATGTAAAATGAATAATTATTGGCAATAATAAGGGTGCTAGTTAAATTATGAGTAAAAACATTTAACCACGTTTAGTTCATATAAACTACAGCTGTTAAAAAACTGTGTACAAATAAAATCAATACTTTGAGTAATATACAATGCAAGTTCTGTACGATGTATCAGAAATTATTACTTGCAACTAAACTGAAACAATGTAAGCATTTTCGAACTCCATTGAACACTTTTTCTGTACAATTACATTTTAATATGTTTAGTTTTTTTCCAGTAAATGGAGAAAACAAGAAAAGTGATCTACGATAACCAAGGTTGATGTTTAAAAACTGGAATATCTGAATGTTAATAAAACGAAACAAACTTTCTCTGAATTATAAGTAATATTTAACCACATTTTTGATATAACATGAATGACCAATAAGTACAAACATGATGAAAAATATATGTATATGCACGAAGTGTACAAGTAATAATTAAAGTACAGTTATGTATACTTAAATATGAAAGATGTCTTGAGTATGTCTATATTTAAACAAAAATTAAATTGCAAGGATAAACTGTTACCTGATTTGAATTTCAGATAAACTTTTATTTTGACAAGAGAATTAGAGTATTCATTAGCTTACGCAGTACTTATCTTGGTTTGGACAAGAGAATTAGAGCAGTCTTTAGTATAGTGCACTTGTTAGTTATCTTAATTTGAACAAGAGAATTAAGACAGTCTTTAGTAAAGTATATTCAGTAATTATCTTGGTTTGGACAATATAATTAGAGCAGTCTTTGGTATAGTATATTCAGTAATTATATTGGTTTGGACAATATAATTAGGGCAGTCTTTAGTATAGTATATTCAGTAATTATCTTGGTTTGGACAATATAATTAGGACAGTTATTAGTATAGTATATTCAGTAATTATCTTGGTTTGGACGATATAATTAGGGCAGTCTTTGGTATAGTATATTCAGTAATTATCTTGGTTTGGACGATATAATTAGGGCAGTCTTTGGTACAGTATACTCAGTAATTATCTTGGTTTGGACAATATAACTAGAACAGTCTTTGGTACAGTATATTCAGTAATTATCTTGGTTTGGACAATATAACTAGGACAGTCTTTGGTACAGTATACTCAGTAATTATCTTGGTTTGGACAATATAACTAGGACAGTCTTTGGTACAGTATACTCAGTAATTATCTTGGTTTGGACAATATAACTAGGGCAGTCTTTGGTATAGTATGTTCAGTAATTATCTTGGTTTGGACAATATAACTAGGACAGTCTTTGGTATAGTATATTCAGTAATTATCTTGGTTTGGACGATATAATTAGGGCAGTCTTTGGTACAGTATACTCAGTAATTATCTTGGTTTGGACGATATAATTAGGGCAGTCTTTGGTATAGTATATTCAGTAATTATCTTGGTTTGGACGATATAATTAGGGCAGTCTTTGGTATAGTATATTCAGTAATTATCTTGGTTTGGACAATATAATTAGGGCAGTCTTTCGTATAGTATATTCAGTAATTATCTTGGTATGGACGATATAATTAGGGCAGTCTTTGGTACAGTATACTCAGTAATTATCTTGGTTTGGACGATATAATTAGGGCAGTCTTTGGTATAGTATATTCAGTAATTATCTTGGTTTGGACGATATAATTAGGGCAGTCTTTGGTACAGTATACTCAGTAATTATCTTGGTTTGGACGATATAATTAGGGCAGTCTTTGGTACAGTATACTCAGTAATTATCTTGGTTTGGACGATATAATTAGGGCAGTCTTTGG